ATAAGAAAATGCTTGTAGCACTCCTCAGTTTCTCTAGTCATATAATCCATCATTATTCAATTCAGGCATCCATAATTGGACTTGCAAGATGGACTGATCTACTGTGAGGAACTGAGGATAATCTTTAGTCTGATCATCTGATACTTGTCTGGTTTTACAGAAAATTTTTAGTGATTCTAACAAAGATGACAAAACAATTATGGAAAAGAAAAAGGGTGTACGTGCAAAAATCCCAATAACTATAATTTGCACATACAAAAGTAGAAGAAAATATGAAGACTACCTGATAGACAASCTACGAGAGTATTGCCTTATTGATTTTGGTTGAATTTTCTATATGGTTGAAGTTTTCAACTTTATTCTCTGATTTCATTGTTACTTGCCAGTTTTATTATTATCTGCAAAAATATGAGATTAGAATTTAAATATGTTTAAATTTGAGTTGATAGTTTTTTTTGACTCAATGTCTATGCTCAATTTTCTGAAGCAATTAACCAATCTGCCTGTCTTTGTTTTACTTCTATAGCAAGGAGAAGCAAAGAGGGCTTTGGATGTACTTCAAAAACCTGGTGTTTCTGTTGATCTTCAGGTACTGGGGGTTTATTGATAGAGATTAATCGTTTTTCCTGGATGCGTTGACGTTCCCTTTTTTCTAATATTAAACAAAAGGATTCGCAAATAGAAGTAATTTCAGAGGTTTTCCCTGACTTTGTCCGTGTCAACAAACAATTAAATACCAGCCCCYCTCTTTTCTCGGGGCTAACTAATAAAAGGCCCAGAGCAGGAAGTGATCTTTTTTTACCGCCAAAATGTGATGATCAYAGGCAATCATGTAGTGGTGAAGCCAGATTATGAATTACCAAACTCGAGAGCTTATCAACCAAACTCACATCACCTTTTTCTCTTTTTGATTTTAATCTATATGCTCTTTCTTATCATCATACTAGTTATCTCTGGAGTTACTATCCATACAATCATTATCACCGGCAGCAGGACTAATAAGTTTCACGAATATCATTTTTGTTCTCAACATCACATTTGCATCATTAATCTTTTCCCTGACATTTCACAAAGTGGCTTTCCTGTTACWTCTACAATCTGTTGGACYTATCATTGTAATTCATTGTGTTTTACTTGTGCTGCAGTATAAGTTTGCTCCAGATCTCATCATGCTTGATGCGTATGAAACTGTTGAGTCCTGGATGACCAGAAAGGACTTGAATCCAAGAAAGTTGATTCCTGCAATGATGTCTTATTCAAGTGAACCTCATGCAAAGTAAGTGTACTAATTAATAAGTGGTGCTACAACATCATTAAATTTCAGTGGCATCAAAATTGTATTAGCTTAAGAATATACACATATGTTGCCCGTTAAGGTTTAAAATAGACACCATCTTACCAATCGG